AGTCGCGACAGACACAGTGATGAAGCTGGTATGTGTTTGCAGTACACAAGCCACGGTTAAGCCAGCTGACTCCACTGTGATGTGACCCTGTCTCTCTCTCTCTCTCACACACACACACACACACGATGCAAAACTCCGCATTTGAACAGTCAATAGCAAATACTTAAACTAATAACAAAACAGTAGCTGATTCAGAAGCGCCAGATTGTCATAGTAAAGTCAGAATTACCTCCTCTCCTAGGTTCACGAAACGGTCGTCCATAAAATGCATTGCTGTTCTGTTGTAAGTAATCTTAAAGATTCCTAAATGCATCTACTTTCGGAAGGCCAAATAAAGTGCTTTTGCTTTCACCTAGAAACACACAGCGTCTCCCTGACATGGCTGCTTCAACACTAACTGCGGTTACTGAAACCACGCCTTCTTTCTTTGCGTGCACATTTGGGCCGCATTATGCAAATATTTCCACATAGTGAGGTAGATATGTGGGGGCGTGTTAGAACGAGCCGTTTTAGGGGGGCGTGGCAGAGTCTTAATTTTGATAAAGAATATCTCTTTAGTTTTGAGACTTTAGTCTTTGCAACTTCAGGGATCTTATCTATGCAAAATCAGCTTGTAACACTCCAAAGAGAAAGGAAAACTTGAAATCGCATCATATGACCCCTTTAAGTTCAAGTCTTTCCTTTCATGTGCATTACTGCCTCTGTTTGGCTGAAATGCATGCATTGTCCCAGTTCATGTTTGTTGAGATGATAATTATTTCCTCTTTTTCTTTATTATGGACTATCCTCTCTGTATTAAAGGAATAGTTCACCCAAAAATGAAAATTTGCTGAGTGTATACACACTCAGGCCATCCTTAGATGAATTTGTTTCATCAGATTTGTAGAAATGTAGCTTTCCATCACTTGCTCCTCTGCAGTGAATGGGTGCCGTCAGAATGAGTCCAAACAGCTGATAAAAACATCACAATAATCCACAAGTAATCCACACAAATCCAGTTCATCAATGAATGTCTTGTGAAGCCAAAAGCTGTGTGTTTGTAGTAACAAATCCATCATTAAGATGTTTTTAAATTCAAACCATTGCTTTTGGCTAAAATAAAAGACCTTTATCTATAATTTCACTTTCTCCAGTTGTCTGGTCTGAATCAGGAGAGAAAGGCACAGATCAAGCACTGTTTACAAGCCAAAACAGTTCAAAACAACTCTAAACAAATGATGTGGGTGCATTTACAGTAAAAAAACAAAAACAAAACAACAACATCTTGATGGATTTGTTTCTTACAAACACGCAGGTTTTCACTTCACAAGAGGTTAATTGATGGACTGGAGTGGTGTGGATTACATTGTCGCAATCATACTTTAGATTTAAAGGGGTCATATGATGTTGCTAAAAAGAACATGATTTTGTGTATTTGGTGTAATGAAATGTGTTTATGCGGTTTAAGGTTAAAAAACACATTATTTGGCAACAACAATACTACAGCGAGAATAAAAGTTACGCCTTCTTTCTTTGCGTGAAAATTTGGGCGGCGTTATGCAAATCTTCCATGTGACAATCAGACATGTGGGGGCGTGTTAGAACGAGCCGTTTTAGGTAGGCGTGGTTGACTCTTAACTTTTATAAAGAATATCTCTTTGGATTTGAGACTTTAGTCTTTGCAACTTTACAGATCTTCTTTATGGACCAAGAGCTTGTAACACTCCAAAGAGAAAGGAAAACTTGAAATAGCATCATATGACCCCTTTAATATTGTCACATGGAATTGATGTTAATGGCATTGAAATTCTGCAGCAGAGCGATGATATCTCGGATCATTATCTAGTCTCGTGTATACTCCATATAGCTAAAGCTGCAAATTCAACTCCTTGTTACAAATATGGTAGAACCATCACTTCTACCACAAAAGACTGCTTTGTAAATAATCTTCCTGACTTGTCTCAATTCCTCGTCTCAATTCCAATAGCTCAGAAAAACTTGATGGTGTAACAGAAACTATTGACTCTCTCTTTTCTAGCAGTTTAGATACGGTTGCTTCTTTACGCTTAATGAAGTTTAAGGAAAACAGCTCGACACCATGGTATAACGAGCACTCTCGCCTTAAAGAGAGCCGCCCGGAGAATGGAGCGCAGCTGAAAAAAACAAAACAAAACTAGAGGTATTTCGTAATGCATGGCGGGAAAGTACTTCTACTTATAGAAAAGCTCTAAAAACTGCTAGATCTGATTTGTCTCTTTTAGAATAAAACAAACACAACCCCAGGCATTTAATCCAATAGGCATTAAATAGCATTAGCAATAAAGTGGCTAAATTAATAAACTCAAGATGGCGCTGTTTATGGTTGCCATGGTGTGGAGGTCTCCCGTTCTTTTGCTGTTTTTGTTTGTTTGTTCTGTTGTTTAGTCATTCTTTTACTATCAGTTTTACCAGAGACAAACTACTGGACATAAGGCAACACACACCAGACAAAATTTTTCCAGTTTTTTATTATTCAGACGGTTTGTTAAATGTTCTAGTCAGCGCGCTGGTTAAGCTCCGCAAACGCGGTTTCCGAACAGCGCTTCCTAGTATCCATCTAGCAAATCTCAGATTTAAAAAAAGCAAATCTTTCCCGTGAACTGCCAAAATACAGACAGCATGCCATACCATAGACAGTAATATACTGGATTACTGCCACACCACAATAAAGGATGCATATCACTCTGTCCCACGGGCAGCTTTGGGGCTCTCTGATCATTGTCTAGTTCATCTTATACCGACCTACAGGCAGAAACTGAAATCAGCTAAACCTGTAATTAGGACTGTAAAAAGATGGATTAATTAAGCAGAGCAGGATTTACAAGACTGCTTTGGCTGCACTGATTGGAGTGTTTTTGAAGCTGGACGAGCTCACAGATACTGTAACATCATACATCAGTTTCTGTGAGGATATGTGCATCCCCACAAAGTCATTCTTATTATTCAATAATGATAAACCGTGGTTTACTGGGAAACTCAAACAGCTTCGTCATGCCAAAGAGGATTCTTACTAACAAAGGAGATCAGAGTGGCTAAAAAACTACTCTGAAAAGCTGAAAAAACAGTTTTCAGCCAACGACCCAGTGCTAGTCTGGACAGGTCTGAGGAGCATCACCAAGTACAAGACACCACCCCCACAGTCTGTGGAGAATCAACAACCTGGTTAGAGCCAGTCTAGCTGGCTAGATTTGGTCAGCATGATCTTTCTGATTTACCTGGTTAAGACTAGTAATCCATCATCCAACACACAACATATGATGTGACAGTAATACTAGACAAACTATTAATTGTATCATTATAGTTTATATTGTCAAGGTTTATGTGTAAACTAGCTGTTACATAGATGTGTTCCGTTTTAGTTATTTCAACCCATCAGATCATACACACTGCAAAAAAAATAATATATTCTTAATTACTAATTTCCAGTTAAAATATTAAACAAAAAATTGTAAAACAAGATGAATTAGACATTATGAGTTTTAAGTTACCCAGCGACAGTCTGAAGCATCACCAAGTACAAGACACCACCCGTGCAGTCTGTGGAGAATCAACAACTGGCTGATGATCTGAATGTGTTTTACTGCTGGTTTGAAAAGCCCAGTCTCACACCCCACACCCGCTCTGATCTGCACTTCACATATACACCTACCACCCCCTGCAACCCCCCTTCCTGCCTCTCCCACCATTCAACCTGCGCTTAAGGTCTGTGTAGAGGATGTGAACCGGGTCTTCAGGAAACAGAAGACTAAGAAAGCTTCAGGCCCAGACGGTGTTTCACCTGCCTGTCTAAAAGTCTGGGCTGACCAACTGGCCCCCATCTTCACACAGATCTTCAACAGATCACTGGAGCTGTATGAAGTTCCCTGCTGCTTCAAACGGTCCACCATCATTCCGGTCCCCAAAAAACCCAAAATCACTGGACTTAATGATTACAGACTTGTCGCTTTCACGTCTGTGGTCATGGCCTACCTGAAGGACATCACTGGACCCTTGCTGGATCCTCTTCAGTTTGCCTACAGAGCAGACAGGTCTGTTGACGATGCAGTTGCGTTCCAGGGTTGCGTTCTCTCCCCACTGCTCTTCTCCCTGTATACAGATGACTGCATCTCTAAAAAACCCTGTCAAGCTCCTGAAGTTTGCAGATGACACTACAGTCATCGGCCTCATCCAGGAAAGTGAGGAGTCTGCTTACAGACAAGAGGTTGAGCAGCTGGCTGTCTGGTGCAGTCTTAACATCCTGGAGCTCAACACGCTCAAAACAGTGGAGATGATAGTGGACTTCAGGAAAAAAAAACCTGCACCTCCCCCACTCACCATCATGAACAGCACTGGCGCAGCAGTAGATTCATTCAGATTCCTGGGCACCACCATCTCTCAGGATCTGAAGTGGGACATTCACATCGACTCTATTGTAAAAAAGGCCCAGCAGAGGCTGTATTTCCTTCTCCAGATGAGGAAATTCAACCTGCCACAGGAGCTGCTGAAGCCGTCATTGAGTCTGTCCTGTGTTCATCTATAACTGTTTGGTTTGGTTCAG